CCACGCTTGGCAGGTCAACCGCAGTTAGGTTTTAATGACGATGACATCCCTTGACCATTAAGTTCCCTTAGTTGTCTCTTATGACACGGGAAAGGAAGAGGTGGCCCATTCTATATTGAGACCACCCGGTAACTTCTTATATTAATTGAGATTTTTACATCATATTTATGAACTTATGAGCTCTGGAACCCAAGTAAAATTTTGGCCAAAAATTGTTTCATTATTTGGATTCGATAGGGTATAGTTTTTATTGATCCATGTTCCTATGTTATTTGGTTGATTCTTCTTATTATATTTCAGACATCAGTTGTCTAGTCTTATGGCTGGTCCAGCGCCATTATTTGACATCTCCAACTGTATCAGTGAGTGGTTCTTAGCAGATATCTGGAAATCGACACAAGGATATTCTAACAGAGGATTAACGGGGAGCAGCGGCCCTATCACTGGCAAAACACCCTGCAACTCAATCTCCATGCGATGCGATCAAAACGATCGTGGTTTTCTTGATGACTTCGTCACCACCAATTGACCTGGTTTCATCCTCACCTATCATCTCTCACTGGTGTCACGTCAACGTATACCGATGGCTCTAGCGGGATTACTATTCCATTATCATTCATAAAAAAACCTATTACTTGTTGGTTTTTATGACGTATGGAAACTCTTAGTCTCGTTCTCAGTCGTGCTCTTACTGTTTACTATCTTCGTTGTATGAGAAACTTCTTCTACTTTAACATCAACAGACGCATGCAATTGATTCGAGAGGGTTTCAAAATTACATAATAAGTATTATTATTTGTTTTAAACATTTTTTTTTTACAAATGAGACTACCACCTCAGGCGTTTTGTCCGACGATTGATAAAAAATCCGTCACTTCCAGTCTGTCTGTTTGTAACGTAAATCCACTGTTTTGGTCTCCATTAGGGTCAATCCGCCTCAGGGTTAATCCGCGTTAGGGTTGCCACGATCGAATACCTTTTTATTCGGTTTCAAAATGAGGAATTCTTAATTAAACTGAATTTTTAAATTTTATAGGTCCTCCACCGACATAAACTTACAATTAAAATTATGTTTACATCTCTATTTTATCATCACCACAAATCTAAAAGCGGTCTGTCTTTATTCTGACTTATGAAATCTCTGCTCTTATCTCAAATATTTGGTTTCATTTTACGACGGGCGCCTGTTAGACGTCAATTGTCCTGGAGAATATTTTTTTCTTAAATAAAAAAATTCTAAAAAAAAATCAAAAGTCACAGGAGTAAACCTTGTCGAATAAATATAAAATGTTGGCTAATTAAAAAGATGACTTAACAAGTATATTTTTATCAGTAAGTTATCATTCCATTTTCATAAAAAAAAACTCCCCCTCTGTCTATCCCAATCTTATCCACAGATGGTAAAGAGTCACAACACATATCCATTTTCACATTCGTGAATTATATGAGGGTTGAAGAAAAGAAACCAAGTAGCGGACAGCTGTATATTCTGTAAGAAAGATACAGAGAGGTTAGAAAAAACAAAATTTTATTATATAAAAGAAATATATAAAAAAGGAGCACATTATGTACAATTCGCATGCTTTTCATCTGTTGCCTCTTTTGACCTCCACTCAGATCTATACAAGATGGCAAACCGACTCGTAAATTTTCCCATTTAAACAATAAGCAACGGTAATAATTGTAGATATTTTAATTGAACCAAACATATCATGTCTTATAACAAAGCCACTAGCTACTTTGATCCCGACATCTGCCAACCCTAACTGTTGGATATGTTTATGCTATAATAAGACAACAAATAACTTTGTGGCCAGCACTACCTAAGGGCATGCGCCTGTCCAAATGCTGGTAGAAAGTAATAATTTACAGATATTCTACTATAAACCAAAATATCTTATATTTTCTTTTATTAAAACGTTTGTTTGAACCTATATTATATATTATAGGTATGTTTTAAACGTTATCAAATTGTTATTTACTATAATAATAGTTTTTTATGTGATGTTAGTCGATATATGGTGTTAGTCAATCATGCACAGGCTTTTTAACGACCATATAATTTTAGACATAGTACATTAATGTACATAATGTTAATAGAGATTAAAAGAGTAATTGTTGAGTTTCTTGCGGCCTCTTTTCAACAGATAATAACTTTCTAAATCCTGCATTCATAAAAGAATGACGACTTAAAAGTGCTTGTAAACAAGTCTATTTGAATAGATGATAATAGAAGATGATTTGAACATATACTACTGAGAGTAGCAAATCAGTTGACAGTCACATTATGAAACAACAACAAGATTATGAGGAATTGTTAGGATTGATACCTGTTGCTGATTTTCATCATCGTACAACCCGCCACAAACTAAAGTTCCATCTCAACCATCTGGATGAGCAGCGGTCCTCCACCGTGCCCTTTTCTAGGCACTTTCTGCCACTCACAATCACTTTTCTGAATCAACTTCCAGCAGCAGTATTTCTAAACTGATACGACATCATAACCTTCAAGAAAAGAGCATATATTCCTTTTTGAAAGGCCACTAGCAATGCCTCTGATGTTGTGGGTGATCATGGGCGGCGGTAGTCATTTATCTTCAGGTGAGCCGCATACTCGTTGGTACCTGTGTTAGAAAAAAAAGAAAACATCATTGAGTTCACGTGAACAATGTCGCGGCAAACAACTAGTGACATTACAAAGACACACAATCATCGATAGCGAGTAAAATTCTGAAGATTAAGTAGTAATTATTGCACGTTATCCTCATATCAATATTATGAATACGTTTTTAATGTGACACAAGATATTTTCCTTATTTTTTATCCCTCGTGTAACACATAAAGGCGCATGCAATTACTTGTATTAACTGATTTAATGGCTCCCTTTGATGTTGAACATCCCGCTTGGGGGCTGAAACAAAAATACAGACAAAACTAAGTGCAGTAATTACTGCATTAGCCAGCCCTTCCATTGTTGTCCAGGAGATATGGTGCAGCTGGATTATAGTGTTGCATTGTATTTCTTTTATAGTCAAGGCTGTATATGAACAGATTAAATTTAAAATACCTTTAACTAAAAAGTGTATGTAGAGTACGTACCGAAAAACGTAATTTGATCTTTGCTATTCTTTATGAAAAGGTTTTGATGTAAATCCTGCAACTATAAATATGAAATATAATATGTTTGTAAGAATATTTGGACGTATGGATGTAGTTTACGTTTTCATACAAAATTACGAATTCTAATTAAATTTGATATACAGGCTATATCCTAAAGTAGAACATAGGACTTCAGATACTTATTCATGCAGGAGAAGTCGCAGCATACAGCTAGACTATAATAGTATTATAATAGTAATTATAAAGAGAAAATATTTGATTATTTGTTTGTTTATACTACTCAACTGATTTTAAAAATTCTTTCACTTATAGAAGTCCACATTATTAATTAGTAACATATGGTTTATATATTATTGTCGAAAATTCTATCTACCTGTGCAAAGTCGGGTGGAATCACTATATATTGTTTGCTCACTTTAAATTTTTAATCCTTATATGTAATAATATTTTGCGTATGTCCTTTTGTTCTGATATTTATTGTTGTTCTAAAAATATTTTAATTGCAACTTTACTAGGGTTTTGCAAAAATAAACTCCATATAAGTTATAAAAGCAATGTCAGTCCCCTACAATGGACTACAACGCCCTCTATACGTCATTAACGGTGCTTTTTCGCTCTTCGCGGAGTAATATAATACGCGAGTGTGTACTTTATGCGATAATGTTTTGTTGAGGTCACGTGTACTCAATGCACTTAACAGTTAGTCTTGTTTGGTGCGGTATTCATTAGCACTGGTCTTTGTTGCAAAGGATTAAAAGTTTTTCAAATGCTTTTTAGGGTGTTTTTTATGGTAAATACTTCATGCTGCTACTACTTGTATATATTATTATTATTGGGAGACTATTCATAATTAATTGTTAGTGTTATTATTTAAAAAAATGTATAGATTTAAATTATTATATGATGGTAAATTTATGACATTTAATTTAATTACCAGATGGAAACTTTGTACAAAAGTCGTTTGCTTGGGCACCTTTGTCCCATTCGTGTTTCTACCGTGAAGCAGTTGTGTTTGCATGGCTGTGTTTCGGTTTAAAGGGTGGGATATGGCAGTGAATTTACAGGGTACAGAGGAATAACATCCGAGTCCTCGGCAATGGCAACGCATGTAGGTATTATGAACAAAACAGTATACTCCATGGTACTGCCCTCATATCTATAGGTGACGGTTACCATTTTCCATCAGGTAGGCCGTCAGTTTGTTTGCCATTCTAAAATGCATAAAAAAAAATTCTTGCTAAATAAAAAAAAAAAAACTTACGTAGCTTAGTTATTATTAGTATATGATGTAATATCTTACATTTACTCAAGAAAAAGATTAGTTCGACCAATAAAATAACAAAAGATCGGTACAAAATGTATAATAATAATAGTTATTAAACTGAAATATTAATAAAATTTTTTTAATTGCTACAATGTTTATTCAGCAAGCGTAGTCTGAAAAATTTCGTTTAATACTAAATTGTTTGGACTCGTCAATAGAATACAGTGAAATGTTATTAATGCTGGTGTAAACGATGTCACAAAAACACGATTGTTAAATTTTTTATCTCGTCACCAAGAATCATATTTCAATTCTTATAATGAGCCCCTTTTGATATATCAATAAAAAAATATTGTCATAAATTGTCATGAGAAACATACGTGATGTTTCTGATATCAGTAAATGATAATACATTTTCGAACGAATTTCGAAGAAATAAAGATAATATTCCTTTGAATAATATTATGTTGCACTGGTAGAATACTCTCTTATATGATGATAAAGAGACTAATTGTTTCTGTTTCATCCTGTATTTCTTGTTAATTATTTATAGTCGGGAAATATCTTTTTATTTTTTATTTTAAAACTAAAATTATTTTTTTTTCTTTTTTTCCAGAAGCAGCGACGACATACCGCGAATGATTTCACAAAAAATCCCAGTAAATTTTCATAGAACAGCTAAATTAAAATTGTATTTAGATAATCTAATATTATGTGATAACGAGTGTCCACCTGTGTAGTGTTATAGTTGTTTGTAGTCGGCCATTTTGTTTTGCAAGATGGGCGCCATTTTGAATGTGTTCCGATTGAGGATCGGCGGTGTTTTGGCGCAAGTAGTGGTGCTACTCAGTTTAGCAGTTTATTCTTCATATGGTAAGTTATTTTCTATAATGGTTTACTTTATTAATTTCATAAATTCTTAATTTTTCTCTAAATTTAAACTAATATAAAAAAGAAACTTTTTTTTTATGTAATGTAATAACTCAAAAAATACTTAACCGATTTGGAAAATTCTTTCACCTATACACAAAGCATATAGCTTAACATACATTGGTTGTATTTTACTAAAAAGGAACTGTTTGGACTCGAAGCGGATCGTAGGTAATTATTATAAATTTTGTAGTCATTGGCATACTGTGTAATATATGTATATCTCAGACTTTGTAGCTAAACTCTTTTATTCATATAAACTTAAACCTCCTATAAATCTATTTAAACTATTACACTCTTTTGTCACTTTCTTTCGAATTGAGAATTTAACTTAGAAGAAAGAAACAAAACAGTTTAACAGCTAAAATAGGTTTATGAGAGGTTTAACATTTTTACTCTATAAACTTTCCAAATATTAAAAAAAAAATGATTAAATTAATTAATCTGAGGAAAGTACGCTGTCGGGGCTCCAGTAAAGGATGATAGGTGAGGATGAAAACAGGTCAGTTAGCCCATTATGGTGAATTCTAGATCTTGAATTCATCTAGAATTCACCATCTAGAACATGGTTTCCAGGAGCCCCGCGTGGATATCGACCCGGTAATATCCCCTATATTACTAACAATAGGATCGTAGTTTCCTTTACTAGCGATCTCTTTCCCCCCAGTTTGTATCAGATATAAAAAAAAAATAGTACATCACAACAAGATTGCATTACATTGTTCCTTCGAAAGGAAACCCACATGACCCTTCTATTTGATTCAGTTCACCTACTTTAGGAACACTGTAAATGCTGCAAGAATACTTAATAGCCTCATTAAAATGCAGGCCAAAAAAACTGGCCACACAACCGCATATAATAAATTCTATCGCCGCTTGTAAACGCGATGTAAGCAATAAAATAAATTGGGCATCTTACGAATTACACGTTCCAAGAATAGGGTTGTCACTTATGTATCGAGACATTATAGACGTATGATGTTATAGTATTAATACTAGATGTGTTTATTTTAGCAGTACTGATAATCAGAGGAAGAATTTTGGTAAATCTTGTTAATACCGTGGATAAACATACGAGATTTTTTATTTCAAAAATTAAGTATTGACTTAACTAAATTACACGTAAATGAAATTTGTGTCACAAACAAATACTCTATTAAACTGATTTATTATTATTTAATGTGTAAAATCTTTTAATAATGTAATTAATTACAAGTAGTGATATGTCTGTATATAGAGAGATTGAGAAAAATGTATATGAGGGATTTTAACGAGAACAATAAAAACCAAACGATAATTTTCAGAATTTTGTTCATGCGTCTATACGTTCCAATATCACGCAAAAATTACTGCAGCAAATTTAATATATTATCATATTATTGTACTCCTGAATATCTAACTAAAAATTTTGTATTTGTTTTATTTTGATACGCAGTCTAAATCTGTTTGCCTACTTCTAAAATCCACACGTACAAAGTTGCTGGTAAACGTTAGAAATAACAATTATTCTGTAAATTCTGCGACTTAAATCTTTGTAAAATCTTTCTATCCCCCTACTGACTTAGTATAAGTTTCAGCAACATTGTTAATAATATTGATACGCTTGGCAACCCTAATCTCACGAATTACATGTCTCGCGCGTCCTGCCCGCCACAATTTGTGGACAATTACATATTATTTGATATAATTTCTTTTTGACCACATTCTACTTTTTTTAAAGTCTGGAATGGAATAGAGGCGTCTTTCTTATTAGATTAATAATTCTAATTATTTTGTAAGGTTGTTTAGTTTGTGTTGTGAGTGTGTGTACAAAAAGGGATCATTTCTCCCTGAAGGTCGTTTATTATTTAAGAACTACTAAAAGAATTAGTGTTTTTAAATGTGTCTTCTAAAAGAAAGAGATACTCAATACGTCTGATTTTTTTTTGATGGTTTATTATTAGTAAATTAGTTACATTGTCGTAATAAACAAAATACGCGATATCATTATCCTGAATTGATTATCACATTTGTTTTTGCATATTAGTTTCTTGTCTCTTGAAGCTTTCATTTTTTTTTTCAAACGAATACTGTTTCGAAAGAAAATCTACTTGTAAAGTCGGTTCTAGATTTAAATATTCAATCAAACGTTTCGTTCTCTTTTTGTTTGTTATGACGATTAATGTTAACATATATTTAAATACCTATGTGTAAATTTAAGTTGTTTGTGAGGAGACATAAATAAATATAATATTATATTATTATTATTATTTAAAACTGTTGACTTTCTTGTGTGTTTTTCTCAGCAGATTACAACTTTCTGAACCCTACATATTCATTAAAAAATTACGTTTTAAAAGTGCTTGTAGACAAGTGTATTTGAATAAAAATTATTTTAATTTGACTGAGTCATTGGTTTTTTAGATCTTTTTTTAGATGTGAATGGTGAACAAAATACTTGTTTAGGATTTTACGCTTTCTAATTAATATACGGCTTTTCTTGTATTTCTTATTAGCCTTTGTAAACGTAGGTCTTGTGTGTGTGTCGTGCCGTCGACAAAAAATACATGTGGATGTTTCGCCTCTAATGCATCTACCCCATCAGATACCACAAATTTTAACTCATTATCGCAACAAAGAGCTGCACGTTGCACCATTCCTCGCTCTGTGCTTCTGATAATGCGTTTTAGATGAGGTTTAATAAAAAAAAAAGGTAGTGTATACTGCGGCGTGGCCTTGAGTGTAGTGTAATTATTAGGTAAGTTAGGATGTATGGTGTGGTTGCAAATGATATAAATATTAAATTAGGTATTCTAACTGCATATTAGATTTTTATCCGACTTCTTAAAGGAGGAAGTTCTCAAATTGGTTTGTATTTTCGAATCGACTTCAAAAAGGAGGTTCTGAATTCGGCTATATATTTTTTTTATTACTTCGTAACTCCGTCAATTATAAATCGATTTGAAAAATTTTTTTTTATCAAAAAGGATATACTTACAGATTGGACCCATAAAATTTCTATCAAAATGTCTTCAGTATTTTAGATTTAAAATTAAAATAACTTGGTTTGCTACAATTGAAGTTGGTTATTTATTTGTGAAACACAATTTTAAATTATTGTTTATATTATTATCGTCATCGTCTATTTGTCTTTTTAAACACATAGATGATTATAACAGTTCTTAATTGTCCACTGCTGAACACAGGCATCCTCGTTGGAAGGAATACACGTATACATAGATATCATACAGTAATCGTTTTACGTCTTTAATCATTCCATAGATATCTTGCGTGTTTCTGTGTCACAAATTGAAAAACGTAATGAATTTGTATAGGTATTTTTGACTGTATTAATTTTGCCTTTTCAAATTTAATTTAAAACAAACTGACTTAAAGTGTGCATATAAAAGAGAAAACACAATCTTGCCTCAATAAATTAATCTAGTTATGTCATTTGTAACTTCATACATGCTTTAAGTCTGTGTAAACTAAAAGACTCATCAAAACTCATCCAAAATAAATTAACTGAGAATAGTGATTGCAAACGTACAAGCACAAATTCAATTTGCTGCAACTTCGAGATTCAAACCCGCTAACCAAACAGAAATCCGGTCGACACACTAATTAGAGTTCACACAACCCTCCCGAGCCACAATTATCCGAGTAATTAACCCTTCATAAGCCCGTTCGACCGCTGAATCCGAGCGGGACGTTTAGACCGTAACCTGGAATGCTACGGCGTTTCAGTGTCAAACTATGACCTGTACTGACTTACTGAGGAGAGAGGATTGTTAGTAATGGGGACTAGCGTCCCCATTGCTAGTAATATATCCCGCTAGATCGATCGCCACGCGGTACTCCCTGTAAACAATCGTGGTTAATTCCTAGTGAATTCATCTCATTAGGCTAACTGACCTTCGAACTTAACTGACTTCATTCCCACTTTTCATTCATTACTCTCTGGTACCTTGACCGAGTATACCAATAGCGCAGGCGGAGAGGGAGACTTTGTACAAAAGTCGATTGCTTGGGTACCTCTGTCCCATTCGTGTTTCAACCGTGAAGCAGTTGTGTTTGCATGGCTGTGTTTCGGTTTAAAGGGTGGGATATGGCGTGAATTTACAGGGTACAGAGAAATAACACCTGAGTCCTCAGGAATGGCAACGCATGAGGGGTATCATAGGCGAAACAGTATACTCTGTTATGTCCATGGTACTGCTCATATCTATAGGCGACGGTTACCACTTTCTATTAGGTGGGCCGTCAGATTGTTTGCCATTCTAAGGTGTATAAAAAAGGCGGGTTTACCATTATATTTTATCCCATAACAACTAACATTTACTGTGGCTTCATCCATGTTTTCACGAGACTATACATAAGTATTTATTACTTGTCTCGTAGTGCTTTCGAGAATTAAACCTAACACCTTAAAGAGTCGCCGGCCAATTGCATCCTTTAAACAATTTGTAGAAACAAAAAATACAACAATTAGAAAAATAGTTTTCATAATTTTTTTTTTTTATGAAAATTTTCATGAAAATGTTTCTTATTTAAATTTAGAACATGACAGCGATCGCATTGGCCGTTAATAATTCAAAATTGTTCTCTGTCTATTCTATTTATTCAATTTTCAAACGCCTTTATAGTCGTTACCGATGACAGATGCCGCTTGTAATGTGTCACCTGCTCAGTTCAATCCTCTAGATTTGCATTAAACTTGAAGCTGAAACTAGTTAATAAAAATTGATACACTAAATTTATATGTCTACTAACTTTTGTCCGCAACTTCGTTCGCATGGATTTTGGAAGCAATTAATTATTTATAGATGGTGCGTTTAAAGATAATACTAAAACCAGATTTAAAGAAACACAACAGTCAAGCAGTTTTTGCGTAATTCCAGAACAAACAGGCAGACAGATAAATTCTTATGACCCCTCATATACGAGTATATATATATATATAT